GGAGCACATTATCAATCCACCAGACTTGGCACCAGACTTGGAAGATAGCCGACCCTCCATCGGGCCTTGTTGTTCCCTCCTGCAGCCCACACAGAGAACCGGCAAACACACATCCCTCGGATCCCTCAACTAAGCAAGACATTTCAGACATGTATGAACGCATTAAAAAGCTATTCAATGCAGATACTGCTTTGGTGATGGAGGAGGTTCAGGTCATCACAGACCGGGTACGGGTCACAGAGGACGATGTAACAGACCTCAAACGAGGCCTCTCGGCACAGCAATGCAAATCTCAGGCTAGACTCCCTCAATTATAAAGGCTGGGAGAAAAAAATAGAAAATCCAGGGAATACCAGATGAAGTAGCATCGGAGGAACTACCCCATCTCATTAGACGCCTCTTAGCCTCTGTATTGCCCGCAAAAACGGCTAAATCAATTGTGCTAGACAGTATATACACCGCATAGCAAAATCACCTAGAGCACACAATGCCTCCTCGAGAGACATTATAGTCAGATTCAACTCTTATGCAGATAAACAAAGGCTCCAACAGGCACTATGGAATAAAACACCCCTTCACTTCGAAATGCACCTTCTATCAAGATCTTACCCGCTCCACGCAGCAATGGAGGCAAGCCATGCGGCCTATCACAAGGAGCTTGCAAGAAGCAGGCATCGCGTATCGCTGGTCCACACCAAGGGCTCTAATGGTAATTGTGGAGGACAAAACCTACAGAGCTGAGGCTCCGGAGGATGCAACACAGTTCCTAGCTTCACTTGGTCTGGCAGACAGGCCTCCAGAGAATCAAAGACCTAAACCCGGTCCCACCTGGGACATTTCAAACATCAGGCCATTCATCCCTGCCGGGGAATGGAACTCAGGGACTTGAACCATAACAGGCCGATATCTAAAATCTGCAACACATAATGGTAGGTCTAATAAGTGATGCTTGCTCTAAACACCTGTGAGGTATCCTCTACACCTTTAAATCATATATAACATACAAACAAATAGGTGGAGCAAATAAAGGCAGAAGATAAAATACAATATAAATAAAAATATACTTCTCTCTCTTCTTACTCGTGGCTGTAAAGATAGAGAGATACAAAATAGTGCAGATATCCTAATGCATAATAAGAAAAAGCAATGTGACTGAAACACACTCACAAGGATAGAGCCATATATTGGACCTGGCTCTGGTGTGGATCTTCTTAGGATCTTTTTAGGGTGATCCAAAACCTCCTTGATGGATGTTCTGAAGCAGTGAGGGTGTTTCTTCCCAAGGATAGGCAGCAGAGGTGGAAATATATGTTCCAAAATAAATTTATTAGTAAATACACAGAATAAAATACTATGTAAAGTAGTAGTTAAAAAGTCCACAAATGTCCAATTTGTGCCAAAACGTGTTTCGCCGAAAAGTGGCTCTCAGTTGGCATGGATAACGCTGTTCAGTCTTCCGGTTCTTTAAATATTAAAACGTTAAAGAACCGGAAGACGGAACAGCCTTCCGTTGATGGACGCTTCCTAGCCTGCGCCAAAGACCACAAGCACCGCACCAGACACCACAACCACCGCAGACTCCACAACCGCCGTAGCTTAACTGGAGTCTTCTGTCCACCCTGGATCAGCTTCTCTCCTCCAGGAGAGCGTATCAGGAACAAGCTCTTAAAAGAGTTAAGAGTCCAAGAACACGTGGAGAGGTCTGTTCCGCCACATTCGAATTATGATTCCCTGCAATTCTCTCTTTATTAAGTAGACCTTTATAACACCAAGTTCCCACCAAGAGTACCATGCATCCTTGGAATGCGAGAGATACATTTGCAGCACAGCATCTATATCAGGCAGGTGCATTTTATCTATTTTAGGTGAGTTGGGTATCAGTGGTGACACTGTCAGTACAAATATAGAGAGGCCTTGTGCAGATGTGCTTCAGTCAGAGGTGTGTGTATACCATAGAACATACATTAGTTCACAAATATAATTATATTGGGGAGTGAATATAGTAAAAGAAAAAAAGCTGAAAATAGGAAATGAAAGATATAGAAGGAGAATTTACAGAATGGAGTTAATGAGAGAAATGGGAGCAAAAGAAACATTTATGCATATATTCCATTAGCCCCTTTTCATGCCACCAATTCAACATGTTAAATCTCTCAGGTTGAGGTTGCCGTCACAACGGCACTGCGTATGATTCTTCTAGTTCAAGGAGTCTGCGGGTATTATATGTGTATTATACAGAAAACAGCACTATACAGGGAGCACTGACTGTCTCAGGATACTATACACACAGACCTGTATTATACAGAGAGCAGCACTATACAGGGAGCACTGACTGCCCCAGGATATTATACACACAGATCTGTATTATTCAAAGAGAAGCACTATACAGGGAGCATTGGCTGTCCCAAGATATTATACATACATATCTATATTATACAGAAAGCATCACTATACAGGGAGCACTGACTGTCCCAGGATATTATACATACACGCAGACCTGTATTATTCATGATGCCCTGAATCAGAGGGTTATTTCGGATTCCCTGTAGGAAGGGTTCGAGGACCAGCACAAAGAGGAGTGGTGAGAGGGGGCACCCCTGTCTTGTGCCTTTGGATATCATCACTGGTTCAGACAGCTGACCGTTGATGCGCAGCCTCACCATCGGCGTGGAATATAGCGCTCCCAGCTAGCTTAGCCAGTTTGGGCCAAAACCCATGAGTTGTAGTGTGTGTGTCATTAGGGTCCAGTCCACCCTGTCAAACACTTTTTCTGCGTCTATCGACAGGAGTAGACTGGAACCCCTCGATCTTTGGGAGATAGATTAGATTTACAATCTTAGTCGTGTTGTGCTTAGCCTCTCTGCCTGGGAAAAATCCCGATTAGTCAGGGTGAATCAGTGTTGGTAGTAATGGCCATAACCTGTTTGCTAATATTTTTGGGTATGAGGGTGATGGTGGCGTTTAAAGCCTGCTCTGGAAGCGC